TATTATAATAAAAAGGCAAATAAACCAATTAAAAGGTAGGCAAAATATCTGAGTAGACATTTCTCAAAAATACATGAATGGTTAAAAGGTACATGAAAGGACACTTGATATAATTAGTCCTTGGTGAAATACAAATCAAAACCATGAAGAGCTATAATAAAAAAGACAAGACATGTTAGTGAGAAGGTGGAAACCTTCATACAATGTTGGTTGGAATGTAAAATGGCATAGTCATTTTGAAAAACAGTATGAAGATTTCTCAAATGGTTAAACGAATTACTGTATGAGCCAGTAATTTCACTCCTAGGTATATAAACTCACCAACCAAAAATTTGTCCAAGATTTTGGGGATGTAGTTCAGTGGAAGAGCACTTGCCTAGCATGTATAAGGCCCCAAGTTCAATTCCTATCACCACAAAGCACAGGGGTGGGGGTGAACAAAATTATTTCTAGCAGCATTATCCATAACAGCCAAAAAGTGGAAGTGACCCAAATGTCCATTCACTGAAATATGCACAAAGTATGATACATCCATTTAACAGAATATTATTCAGCCATAAAAGAGAATGACATATTGACACATACTACAACATGGATGAACCTTGAAAATATTATGCTAAGTAAAAGAAGCCAGTCACAGAGAGCTACATATCATATTTTATCTACATGAAATGCCTGGAATAGGCAGATCTATAAAGACAAAAAATGGACTGTTTGTTTCCTAGGGCTGAGGGGTTTAAAGAAGTAACTGATAAAGGGTATGGACTTCTGGGTGTGATAAAAATGTTCTAAAATTGATCATGATTGCAGCTCATTGATGGATGCCCAACTCAATGAATATATTTAAATGGGTGATTGGCAAGATATGTGAATTGTCTCTCAATAAAGTTGTTAAAAAGATACTGTGGCATCTGTCTCAGTCATTCTCTCTTTCTTGGATTATTCATCCTGGGGGATGCCAAATTCTGTGTTGTGAGACTCCAGGAGAAGGACCGCCAACAGTCACGTGAGCTTGAGAGTGGATTACCCTGCCTCAGTCATGCTTTCAACAGCTGCAACTCTGGCCAACAGCTTGACTACAACCTCAGGAGAGATACTGAGTTGGAACCACCCAGCCATGCCCTCCCAGATTCCCCACCCTTAGAAGTCATGTGAAATAATAAATGTTTGTTATTTTAAGGTAATAAGTTTTAAGAAAATTATTATACAGCAAAAGGTAATATGGGCCCATTCATCCATTCATCTCTTTAAGACAGAAATTTCTAATAAAACTTTATTGTTACTAATTATTTGTTGTTAACTTTCTGGCATATTTTGTCCTGTTGTTTAAATGCATAGTAGCACAATGATACTCAAAACAACAACAAAAAAGATTATTTTGCTATGTTGGGGATAGAATCCAGGGCCTTGTACACATTAGGCAAGTTTATTCAACTATACCCTCAGCCCCCAGAACCAAATTTTTAACATTAAGAGCCTTGTCATGAGAACATTTAAAAAAAAATCTATTATATTTGTAGTACAGATTTTTCTTACAAAGGAATATCAATAAAAGTCAAGCACCCCCCCCCAAAAAAAAAAGTATAAGAAGGTACAATTTAGGGGACATACAATGACAGTATGTGTGTATAGAGCACAAATAAGAATCTGAAATTTTTAAAAAATATTTTTTAGTTTTAGGTGGACACAATATCTTTATTTTGTTTTTATTTTGTGCTGAGGATCAAACCCAGTGCCTCACACGTGCTAGGCAAGCGTGCTACCATTTGAGCCACATCCCCAGCCCTGAAATTTCTTTATGTTGATAAACTTTCTCATTTTTTTAAATGGATGATAGTGGGTATCAAATTGCTGTGGTATTTAGACTCTACAGGTTTACATTTAAAGTAGCAATGCAACAATTTTATTTGAAAAGATCAATATTTACAGTATGATGGAAATTTTATCCATTGCAACTCATTATTACAAAGAAATTTACATGAAAATTAAAAATTCACAAGGGAGCTGAGTACAGTGGTACACGCCTGTAATCCCAGCAATATAGGAGGCTAAAGTAGAAGGATTCCAAGTTTGAAGTCAGCCACAGCAATTTAGTGAGACTCTGTCTCAAAATAAAAAGGCTGGGGATGTAGCTCAGGGGTAAAGTACCCTTGGGCTCAATCCCCAAAATAAATAATGCAAAAGTAAATAAATCATAAAAAAAGGATTGGGGATGTAGCTCAGTGGTAGCATGCATGAGGCCCTAGTACTGCCCCCCCCCCCCAAAAAAAAGGCACAAGGGGCATGCAGATTTTAAAACTTTTAGGAAACTCAGCGCTGAGGCAGGAGGATCACAAGTTAGAGATCAGCTTCAGCAATTTAGCCAGGCCCCTAAGCAACTTAGTGAGAACCCTGTCTCAAAACTAAAAATAATAAAAAGGGCTAGGGATTAGCTCAGTGATACAGTGCCCCTGGGTTCAATCACCATACTAGGAGCAGCAGGGATGGAAATCCTTGAGATTCTCCTGCCTCAGCTTTCCAAGTAGCTAGCAGTATAGACAGGTGCCACCATGCCCAACTTCTTCTAGAATTTTATATCTCCCATAGATTTATCAATCTGTGGACAAACAATGATCATATATATCATTTTGCTCAGCCTTTATAGCTACTATTCAGCTGAGAAATCAGCTCTCAGTCTTATTGCTCCTTTAAAAGTTATAAGGCTTTCCCCCCTCAACTTTCAATATTTTCTCATTGTTTGTTTTTTAGCAGTTTAATTAAAATTTCTAAACATTTTTTTGGAAAAAATAATCTCAACTTTTTATTTTAGAGAAAATAACAGATGACAAGGAGACCATAGTTTCTCCTCAAAACCCCCAAACAAGCAAAAGGTTATATCAGTCTTCATTTTAATCTTGAGCATTGAGCCATTCTTTTTCTCCAATTAAGTGAACCTTCCACTTGAGGTAGTCTATGGATGACTTTGTAAATGCTTCTAAATGTATCAAATATCTTAGAGAATAAGATCTAAAAAAATTGCATAACAGTGTTGATTGAAATTTTTACTTGATTATTTCAGTGTCTTCAGCCAATATTAATTATTTTGGGGAGGGATTACAGAGGATTGAACTCAGGGGTACTTGACACTGAGCCATATCCACAGCACTATTTTGTACTGTTTTTTAAAGACCCGAGTTTCACTGCTTAGTGCCTCAATTTTTGCTGAGACTGGCTTTGAACTCATGATCCTCCTGCCTCAGCCTCCTGAGATTCTGGGATTACAAGTGTGTGCCACCACACCCAGCTTTAACTTTCTTAAATGTTTTTCTTCCAAGCTTTCCCATATTTCACACTTAAAATGACTAAATGTTTTAAGTAAAAAATCACTTTTTTGGCATCAAAATACTTGTAGAAAACAACTTTCATGACTCTTTTTGGCTCTCTCTCAAGGTATCTTTGATCTCTGGTTTTATTATTGTTTTGTTTTTTAAAGAGATCTCACTGTTTCCCAGTCACAAACTTCTGGGGTCAAGAGATCCTCCTGCCTCATTCTCCCCAGTAGCTGGTACTATATTTGTGAGTCACCATGCCCAAGGTTTTTCATTACTTTTTAGGGTGATGGCCTTGATGGAGAAGGATCCTTCTGTTGGCCACTGTATAAGCACTCCTCCTCAACATGAGCACGATTAAGTGAGATTCCTCTACTAGCTCTATTAGCATATTAGTAATATGCCCTGATTTAAAAGAAATATTTAAGAAACATTATATCTAAATAAAGTCCTTGCTGTCCTTAGTTAGGAAAGGAGTATGCATACAAGAGGTTGTGACTAGTTTGGCAGAGGGGCCCAGGTCTGTAATCCCAGGGATTTAGGAGGCTAAGCCAGGAAGACTGCAAGTTAAAGGCCAACCTCAGCAATTCAGAGAAAATAACAGATGACAAGGAGACCCCCATCTCAAAATAAAAATTTAAAAGGGCTGGGGTGTAGCTTAGTAGTAGAGTGCCCCTGGGTTAAATCCCCTATACTAGGGGGATTTGTATCATCAGGAATTCCCCAGGAAACCTGGTTTTCCTCTTGGCCACTAACTTCTTCTAGGAATGACTTCTTCCTCCAACATCAGGGCTACGGTTTCCTGATACAGCAGATCTCTGTAGAGTTTTCCAGTTACTGAAAAGCTGTACTGGATGCAAAAATTCTTTGACAAACAAATATATTCGCCTGTGCTACACAAAGGGCGGGGGGGGGGCGTGTATTGGGGATTGAACCCTGAAGAGCTTTACTAGTGAGCTACATCCCCAACCCTTTTTATTTTGGGACAGAGCCTGGCTAAATTGCACAGGCTGATCTCGAACTTGTGACCCTCCTGCCTCAGCCTGGCAAGTCGCTGGGGTTACAGACGTGTGCGACGACGACAGGAACATTTGCCTTTAAGGAAAAGTAATTTTAGGGGGGAAAAATCGGAGTGGATTTGATCAGTTACATTTAAGTCAGTTGTCTCCAAAACAGCAAATAATCCAGACTAGGTAAATGAGTTAAGAAATATTTTTACAACTTAAAAAAAAAAAAAAAACAGTAACATGTATAACATGGATTCAATAACAAGGATTCAATCAGGTTTATGTTCCAATAAATCTTGAAAGGGAGGCAGTGTAGGACTCTTGTGCCGGTTTTACATATGAGAAAACTGAGGCTGAGAAAGCCTAAGTGGCTTGCCTCTTCTGCAGGCGTTCAATCTTGGGCGCCCTACTTTCATCTCACCTCCCCATGCGGCACCAGAGTCCCCTCACAGGTGGCAGTCCCAAATCCGTCCAGCTCTTGAAGGCCAACGACTAAAGCAGCTTTCCGTCAGAGGGTACTTCCGCCTCCCGGTCCCAGCTGCTCGCGGTGGTCTCCTAGCGGTCACGAGTTGTCTCTGGGAACCCGCCCCTCCATCTGCTAATTGGGCAGCTCCTGGCCTCTGATTGGTTGTTCCCTTTCCGGCTCTCCAACACGGCCTGGACCAGCCGGATATAGGGGCAGGGCTTCCGCTTCCACCTTCTCCCTCCTCCCGCTTGCCCTCCGATCGCAGTCGCCACCACAGCGGCCGCTGTCGGGCGCGGTGTCGGTGTGTCGGTTGGCTAGTCTCTCAACGTTGGTGTCTGTGCCGTTGAATTGCCCGCCATGGCTGAGCTAGATCCGTTTGGCGCCCCTGCCGGCGCCCCCGGCGGCCCCGCGCTGGGGAACGGGGTGGCCGGCTCTGGCGAGGAAGACCCGGCCGCGGCCTTCTTGGCGCAGCAGGAGAGCGAGATTGCGGGCATAGAGAACGACGAGGCCTTCGCCATCCTGGACGGCGGTGCCCCCGGGCCTCAGCCGCACGGCGAGCCGCCGGGGGGTCCGGGTGAGAGTGCGGACGCGTTTGCGGCGGGAGGACCTGGGAAACTCGGCCCAGAGTGGGTCCTAGAGCTTCCGTGTGACTCGTGCTCCTGGCCGAACTAGGAGGTTAGGGAGGAGTGCAAAGAGGAAACGAGACCCCAGCCCAGTCATGTGGAAACCTGGGCTCGGGAAGCCTGACTGGTTCTGAGTGTGTCTGAGTGCTGCTGATCGCGGAAGAGCGAAAAAGCAAAGAAAATAGGGTGACGGTCATGTTCGGGAGCTCGAAGAAGCCCGTTCGGTTCAACTTTTCATTAAGCACTTGCTGTGCATTAAGCTGATCTCTGAAGCAGCCGCATTGGCGCAGTTGGGCCAGACTTAAAGGCAAGTCTGAGCCCAGAAAGAACCAGTTAAGAAAGTAGAGCAGAAAAAATTAATAACAGTGGTACCGCTGTCTTTCAAGACAGAAACAAAAATGGTAATGCAAGTCAGCAGTTAAGCACTTGAGATGGCAGTACTGAGTGTTGGGTTACAGGGAGGAACGAAGGAGTAAGGAACTGAAAAAAGATGGTCTAACCCTGGAGAAGGAAACCCCAGCCGAGAGAGAGAGGAGTTTACCATTGTTGAGAGTATCACTCAGCTATGACTTTTGGAGCTCTTCTCCCTTTGGAAACAGCTTTGGTTTTCAGTATTGCCTTAAGGAGAAACCAAGATTGGCCTGGACCAATCAGGGAGGGGGAAAGAGGTGAATAGAGAGGGGAGTGTGACCCTTTCCCAGCGAAAAAAGAGGGACAGGATGCAATTTGACGTTTTTAAATGCCTTAGCAGTGTGATGCTTAATGGTGTCGGGGAATTGTGCTCTGTGTATCTTTGAGACTCAGAAATCTCAAATTACTAAGCAGACAGAACCTTTTTTGGAGGTAAGGGGGTAGTTTGCAACCTCTGAATTTTTTTTTTTTTATGATGCATTTTAGCATCTAAATTTTTGTACTACACTACCTTATAAACAAATCCACCCCCCAGTAAGAACTTATGTGAGAACATGTAGTATGCCTAAATATGCAATTTACAACAAGCAAGTAGGACAGAACTGGGTTGTGACCTGTAGACAAAAATGACTTTAAGAGATTATGGCTATGATCATTGGATCTTAATATTTGCCTGAGAATTTAAAAGTTGTACTTTTTAGATCCTTAGTTTACCTCTTTCACTTAACAGAAAATTGAATCCTAGAGAGAGAGATGACTTGATTAAAAAAATAACAAGCTAGTAGCTGAGCCCCAAGTCTCCGCACCTTTAAACTACCACATTCTGTTGAAGTTTTTTTTAGCCAAGGTGTGATGGCATAAAAGAAAGGCATTGCGGCTGTTCCTGGGTAGGACAAAATTGGGAGAAGTAGGACCCATAGTTAGAAGAATACTATGATTCGAGGACAACGTTATTCTTTTTTTTTTTTTTTTTTTCCTTACATGATAATAGTGGAGTACATTACATTCATAATTATCCATTCACAGCACAATTTAACAACGTTATTCTTGTTCACTGTTTTATCTGCATTATGTAGCAGGGTATCTGGCTGTCCACATACTTCACAAAAGAAGTGGGCAGAGTGAGTCTTGTATCTATCATGCAGCTATTGGGGGTAGGCTATTTGGGAAGATAAAAGGAAGAGAAGAGTAGATATATGGGCCCTTTGTGTATCAAGCCTTCAGCAAAGGGAAGGAAAAGGATGATTGCTGACTTAGTTCCTGGGAAAGATGTTCTTAGTAAACTAAGCATTTAATGACTTAATGCCAGATCCCTGACAGTGTGTTGAGGTTGTTAATAGTGCAGGGTCAGCACTTCCTTTAGGGATTAGAGAACTTTTTGGATGTACACTAGTGATTACTGTTCTATCCTATCCTATGTTACTTGGTTGTAAGTTTAGCTTTGTGGTCTTTAGGCAATTTATATAACTACCAATGATTGCCAGTTTCAGTTTACTTCTCTGTAAAAGGTGCATAATATATTTCACTTAGTGTTTTGATGAATACTTAAGAGTATCTGTGAGTGCTTACCTGGTATATGGTAAGCATCCATCCTTGGGGGAAATTCCAAAGATGGAGGATGGGCACAAGCCAAAACAGGGTTGAGTCTTGGTGATCCTCAGGTGATCCAGAGAAGAGACATAAGTTTGAAGGTAGGAGGTAACCAACCTAGATGAAGTAGCTTGGGGGATATTGAGAAGAATGAGTGGTCAAAAAGGAAACAGCACAAGTGAAATTAATTGAAAACCCCCAATCATGAGGGCTGATTGGGGAGGAGAACAGTGATTTTAAGTAGCTACAGAGAAATATAGCAGCAAGGCACTATTTATTATTTCTGACAAATCCTTTATTGGAGGAGAAAGAAAAGGGGTAGATGAATTGAAGGGAAGCTTTCTGGAGGGACAGTAATTTTATTGGTAGCACTGGTAGAGAGAAATTTAAGGAAACTTTATGCATGATATTTAAGAACATTGTACATTTATGTATGCCAAGAACTCTATATACTTTGAGATCTATGCAGTAACTCTGTAAGCTAAGGAGTAGTGCCATCACATTTCAGATGAGAACTGATCACTGTGGAAGTTAAGTAGTGTTCCTAAGGTAGCAAGCTAATCAGCGGCTCAAACCTGAGTTGGCTTGACTTGAAATGTATGGGGAACGTGAGAGGTTGAAGGTGGGTTTGGAAGTCTTTTCCGCTTTGGAAATTTACTCTGGCCCTTCTTTCTTTCTGGAGTTCCTTAGCCCTAGAAAATTTCCTCTGGATCATTGAGTTTTTTGTTTTTTAAATTTATTTATTAGGATCATTGAGTTGTGTCTCTTAGCTGTTCTCATAAGTTAAGGTCCCTAGATGTTCTTTTTGTATGTTTCTTTAACGATGGACTCTCCTTTGACTTGGTTTAGTTGCTGATTCATAGGAGAATGTCAGTACTGTAGTACTTAACTGATGAAGAGCTCAAAGCACGTTGTGTGTCTGGATAAGTCTTCAGACCTAAAGGACAGGCAGCATGTGATTTAGGAGGAATGGGGGAGGGTTGTTTCTAGTTTTGTATATGGAGTAGTGATCAAAGTCTCTTCTTTTGAAAGTGGCCCTGGGCTGGAATACATTAACTGGATAATAGGTATGTTAGCTGTGATATATTAACTATAATGTAGACCTAGCCAGAGTAACCAATGTGTTCTCTAGCATTCAAACTATCTCACTCTTTTAATCCCAAATGGATTAAAGATAGAAATTTTTTAAAGTACCAGAAGAAAAGTGAATATCTGTTTCACAGTAGGAAAGACCTTTAGCATAAAAGCAGATGTAGAAATCAAAGAAAAAGTTAATTATGACTACATACAAAGTGTTAAACATTAAGTAGTATTTCTAGACACCAAAGGCCATAAGCCAAATTAAAAGACAAAATGGAAAATATTTGCAATATGAAAGTACTACTAATAGAGAATACAAAATATAGCAAAAAAAAAGTTAGGCAAAACTCTTTTTGGTAAAGAAGAAACTCAAATGTCAGATATGTTAATAAGATTGGCACAGCAAAGCCTCCATGAAGGTTTTTTTTTTTTCCTTGCTTTCAGATTAACAAAAATTTAAAAACACAGTAGTCTATAGTATTAATGAAGGTCTGAGAAATGGGGTACTCATGAGCTGCTGCTATTAGTAATATAAACTAATAGGCTAATAGGGGTAAATGATTCAATGTTTTACAAGTCTTTAAAATATGTATCATAAAAATAATAAAATATATATATTCTGTAACCCAGCAATTCTTTATCATTTGATAATTGATACCATTGATGTGCTATCAAAATACTTTAATTCACTTTTTGATAAACTTTGTTTTCTAAAACTTGATAGAATGTTTTAAAATTATATGGGTAGGTGGCACACAAACAGCATAAAGTAATAGAAGACCATTGTTTTTTTTTTTCGGTGCTTTCATAAAGTACAGAAGTGCCTGTGCTTAAGCAAAAGAGTTAAACAATTAGGAAAATTAATTAAGGAAAATATGGAAAGTATATTGAAATAATCAAGATGTGTGTGTGTGTGTGTGCGCGCACGCACAC